CTCAGGCAAGTTATTTGTTCTCTTTAAGTCTATGTTTTAGCTATAAAAAAAATGGGGATGAAAATAATACCTGTCTCATACAGAAGTTGTGAGAAAAATAGTAGAATAATCCATGGAATCACCCTGCACATTGCCTGGTATACAGTGAGCACCTAAGACATTGTTATGTTATTATAGCAACATGTCTTTGAGGACTTGAAATCCTGGTGTTGGCAATTTTCCATTTATTTTCAAAAATTAAAAACATAAATTCTTCTGGTAAAACATTAAAATCTATTGCAGAGGGTAAGAAAAATAGACACACTGCCATAGTGCACTGGGTTACTTAGCGATATAAAGCTTGTTATTTAAGGCTCCCAATGTCTAGGAAATAGCTGATCACTTAGAAGGTTCTTTGAATCAAATCCATTTTGATATGTAGCTGTGAAAATATTAACTACATATGCTGTTCCGTGTTGTAGGTAAAAGAACAAGCTAGACAGCTAGACTTTCCACACTGGAGTCTTAGATCTGCCACTAAATAGTATGGGAATGCTTAATGGGTTCCTGCCTCAGTTTCCTCATTTGTAAATGGGGATAATAAATACTTTCTTTGTAGGGTAGTTATAAAGATTAAATGAGCCTCTACCTACAAAGCAATTTAAAACCCTACCTGATACATTTTAGGTGGTCAATAAATGCCCTGGAATAAAAGACATGAATCCAGGAAATTTAATTATTCATCTTCCGCTTCAAGCCAGGAGCTTGGCAGTTACCCTAGAATCCGATCTCTCCCTCTCACATCCTACACCCAGTCCATTGCCAAATTCTGTTGAGTCTTCCCCTAAATATCTCTTGCATGCAACACCCCCTCTCCACTGTCATAGTCTCTGCCCTGGTTCAGACCCTCAGCATCTCTCATTCCTGAATCACCACCCGTGCTTCCGGAAGGCTCTCCCGGCTGCTATCTGCAGCATGGATGCCTGAGTGATGGTTCTAAACCATAAAGCCATTCAGTTACTCTTCCTACTGCCTCCATTTAAGTCAATTCAAGTCCCTCTCTCCTTGGAGAAGGTAATTTCCCACCCTGTGAGATGGGATACAAAGGTCTTCATGATCTGGCTTCTGACCACTTTCCAAGCCATACACTCATATCCCTTTTGCTCCTTATTTATGTTTGCTTTTCACACATGAATGTTCCCTCTTATTTCCACCACACTGGGCATGGGATTCCTGTCCTTTTGCCTGCCTGTCTTGCTCACTCCTCCTCCAAGGCTCAGCTTCCCTGAGAACCTTCTCTGAGCCCATTTGAGTTGAACTGCAGTCTTACAGTGGGCTCCTGTGGCTCCCTTTACATGTGTTATGAAGGGTGATTAGTGATCTCCTCTCTCTGCAGGGAGTCACTGTACTGTTGCCACTCTGCCTCCTGTAGCTTTGCCTCCAACACTGAATGCAATGCCTGATCCACAGAAGTCACTCAGTAAATGTTTGCTGAATGAATACGTGAATGCAAAAATGAAGCAATAAATATTCATTCCTGCTCTGCCACTGAATAGCTGCATGAGTCTGTTGTCAACAATTAGAAAAGATATTAATCATAAAATTGACTGTTCCTTTATCCCAGTATACCCTGTGTCAGCAATGCATATAAATGTTTCCTTTTTTAGTATACATATCCTTAGATCACCTCAAAGTGGGGTTTTTTTTTTTTTTGTTAGGACATAATAAATATATACAAGCATACTTGTGAACATTTAAAAAAATTATTGAATAAATTAATGTTATTTCTCCTAATAGCCCTCATTATTGAAATGTACCTTATAGTTTACATGGAGAGAAAGCAAAATATCCAGGTAATGTGGCACCAGAGGCCAGAGGCAACAAGGGAAGTGTGGCCCTGAGAGCATTTGTAACTTCTAGTCCTCATGAACTCATGGTAGCTTGGGTTATCCTCTGACCACCGCCCGTGGGCCAGGACCTTGCTCGGTGCAGGGAATATAAAGAGTTCCTCTCTGCAACTTTCTCAGTCAGAGCATGGATCCAATATTGTCCCTCCCAAAGGCACTCTGTCTACCTTTGGCATGCCACCCCACTCACTGCCAGCATTAGCGGCCCATTGGGAGAAGAGAGTGAAGGGGAAAATCTATCAGGGAAGAGCGATGGGACAGTGTGCGTAAAGGAGATGGGTAAATGCAGTAGAAAGACACCTTCTAAACAAAATACTCAGGGAAAAAAAGTTGCTTTTTGTTTGCTTCAAGTCAGAAAAATTGGGATAAAAAGATTAAAGGTTTGTCCATCGAAATGCATTTCCTTTTAGCAACTAGGAAGATTTTTCCTTTCCTTGACACTAATGTTGCTATGGCAAGAATAAAACACACCATTATTAAAATTCAAGTAATTATAAATTCCAAAAGTTCCCTATGTTTTTTGATTGGTAGCCACTTATTCATGGTTATCAATATGCATAGCAGACCAAATGTGCAATCATGGATTTTTTAAGAACTGATGAAATGTGAATAGAATGTTAATTTTATATACACATTCTGACTTGATTATAATACTTAGTAATATCTCATACTGTATGAGGTTATGTCATATATATATCAGGAAAAGTTCAACCTGGGCTTGTTTAAACTTCAATTACAGGGGTACCATGAATCAAATTCCTTTACAAAATAGATACTCTTCACGTTTATCTAAAGCTTTTCTATTCTGTGACTTTATGAAATTACTATTACTTTTATGTAATTAAAAGATCCTAGAGGATATTTCTACATATAAGTAAGAGGAATGAACCCCATAATAACCCACAAAGTATATAAGAGAAGCTTTTCCAATTGCTATGGGGCCTATAATGTGGGGCAAAGTAACCCAAAAGCCTTCATCAGGATCTTAGGAAAAGGTAGGAAAAAGAAACTCCAAGTAAAAACAATTCACTTTGCAGAGAATAAGTGGTATATATACTATATGACTGAAAAAGAATCTAGATTATGTCTTGAAAGTAATCTAATGTTGACTTTGTACTTTGAAAGCAGTCCCTAAAATCCTTGGACTGTGAATGTTAAATCTCCTGAAATGCATGTATCTTTGATAGGGAATATACTGGTTTTAGTGTGTCGTGAATTAACTCGTACAATGGCAATGAAAGTGTTAGCCACAGGCCACTTTCTGGATCAACTCTGTGACTGTCCTGAGAACAAAACATTTAAATCTGCTTGCACATTGACATAGCGATATTGATATTTCTCCATGTTCCCTCCTGGTTGCTAAGAGATTTACATTGGACAGACTCTGTTGTACTCATAACAAAGCACTTTGGTCCACAAAGCATTTGCTTCAGCTCAGTGAGCCCAGAAGCTCCCTTTGCCTCACCCCTTCCCTATTTTGCTTCCAAGTCAAACAGGGGCCCAGGCCCCAAGGCAGCAGGCCTGTCATCACTACAGGAAACTGCGGCGCATAAGCCTGGCTCGGCTAACAAGTCTTATACAGAGTATTAACAGCAACGATGCGATTGTATCTTTATACAAATATATGTACCTTCTTTTCTCATGTTTCTTAGAAGCCAGCTTATCACGGTGGGAGTGGGTAAAGATGTGTGAAGAGTGGGCACTCCGTAGTGACCTCCCACAGATGAACCTAATACAGTGCAATTAGACCAGAACCTGGCAAAATATGGCAATTCCACAACTCTGCTGTGCATGACTCTGAAATATGCCTGCCAACAATTTCCTGAGTTTGTACTTTTGTGAAAATCTGTTCAAGAAGTTTATTTACAAGAATATTGAAGTAGGAAGCATCTATATTTAACATCCTGCAGCAAAGCGACTGTACCTCTCCAAACTCAATCTCATGAAGTCTGCCACATAACAAAACACAGAGAGCCTTCTTTCACAGATCCTAACTCTGAAGAAAACGGCAAAGGCACCAAAAATATTCATGATCAGCCCTGAAGAGAGGTACATGTGGTGGATGAAATCTGCATGTCATTTAGAAGGCACATGCATCACTGCTCACAGCAAATTAAGATTATCTTTCCCTTGGGAATTCTCACAAAGAGACATAAAAATGCTTTATGACCTGACTTTCATATTCAGATCACAGAGTTTTAGTCAATTTTTATTAATTGCCATAGAGGAAAAGTGCTTCGGGCCCTCACTCCCCAGTGGGTACCTAGGAGTCACATTTAAGGGCACAGCCACTAAACACTCAGTAAGTACTCTCCGGCTGTAATGAAACACCACTGACCTAGAATATTCCTCCTATCTCCCCCCTGCCATAGAATATCAGTCGGGGATGATCAATGCCCATGCTTTAATCAGAAGCAATCAGCGGTGAAGGCTGCAGGTCCCTGCCCTGCCATGGGAATTCCTGCGTTCAGGATAATCCCTCTCACCCAGCAGAGAATAACAAACCTCTGTGATTTCAGCTTCGTTTAACAAAAGAAAGTCATTTCTGGCAGCTTGTTTCCATCGCACAACCTAACTAAAAGCACCTCAGAGAAAAAAGAGGCAAAAGGAGGGGAAGAAAGCAAAGCAGGAAATGACTTTTCTGCTACGTCTTTAAGGTCACAGATGTGCCTGAGAAATGCACACATGTGACAGTAGTTCTAGCACAAAAGCTCCTTTTCCACGAGCCTAGACCTCCAACAAGTACAAAGACCGGCTTGCTGGCCTCTCCCTCAGACCCAAGTCACCGCAGTCCATTTAACCTTGACCGGGCTGGGAAGAAACTACTTTGAACTCCTTTGCAACACCTTTCTGTGTCATGGCAACATGCCCCTGCCTGTGTCAAGTGCAGGCACACCTTCCGCATCAGCACTGCAATCACCCCCACACAGGACAGACTCTCCCCCTGCCTAGCCCATCCTCTGGCCATGGTCGGCCACTGGGTTTTATCATCCGTTCCCAATTTATACTCTACACAGCACGTAAAAATAGCCCTTAATGCTTCTAACAGACGCCAGGAGGAGATTAAAACAAAAAGAATCCAGGCAAGATTTATGCTCTGGCGTATACAACTACCTTTTTCTTCCGATCCCGGGACCGTTTGCGGTGTTTCCTTTTCTTCTCAGTCTCCTCTTCAGCATTGATTTCTAAATCCCTGTTTTTCTTTAATTGTGAGGCTGCATGAGCCATAATGCATTGAAAAAGCTCTTCTCAAGCACGCAGGGCTTCCTTGTATAAGGTGATATCCTCAGGCACCTTTAACCAGGCTTACAGTAGCATTCCAATCACTGGAGAGAAACCTTTGACCAGAAGCAGGAAGACATTCAAAATGCAGAGATGCTGTTGAAGCTGAAGCTTTTAAAAACCCAAAAGACGGCTTCCAGACTTCATCCTACACCTTCCTCTACCTGAACCTTTACACGAGAGTGCAGCCATCGTAATGCATTTATCGTAGTGAAAAAGACAGCTGGGACAGAGGAAGCTGTATTATGGCTGTATCCCCTGCCACCAGCTGGAAGTGTCTAAGTGATTCCTCAGAAGGGGGAATGCTGCAAAGGATGGTTCTCTGAAGGGAAAAAATCCAGAGTCACCACACATGCAGGAGCGAAAATCCAGCACTAATTCGGAAAACCTATTTTAGAATCCTTTGGAAAAAAGACAGGGCTGCAATTTATACATCACCACTAGTTCGGCACAGAGCATAATTTAACCCGTAATAGAATGGAGCTGTTCCTCCTTTAGTTTAACTGCTGCTGGTGACAAAATATATAAAATAAGATTTCACAAAATACACTAAATTTTGCTGAGGAGACCCTGACTGCATTACAGGGAAAACAATGCAGGCATTGCTGGCCTCAACAGTGCATCCTTTATGCTGAACTATCAGCCTAAATGCATTTTGTGGGAGAGGACTACAGAGGGGCCTGTTGTCTTTTAAAAACAACATGCTGATTACAACACATCATACAGAAAGACGTGAGCATGTTGGTGTATGGAACAGACGCCTGATTCACAGGAGTTCCCCAGGACTCTCCTCTCATGTGGTCCACGGGTCAGAGGATGGGTGCAGCACTCAGGGCTGTGGAGACACTGAAATGCAGCCCTGGCTTTCATGTCAGGGTTTGCTTCCATCACCTTACTATTTTTGCCACCTGAGTCCTCAATGACTGCAGCCTCTGAATATTCATGATGTGAAGCGGAGTGCTGGCAGTGGGGTGGCTGGGTGGCTTCTGCCAGGAGGCACACACTGGAAGAAACATACTAAGTCAGGAGCCATTTATACACACGTGGTATTCACACAGCATTAGCAAGACATGGCTAAATGGTAGACCGGATCTAAAACACTCGGGCTCTGGTAAGAAACCCTAAATTCACTAGGAAAAGGAGCAGAAAAATTTTTTTAAAAAAATGACGCTCTGTTGAAAAGACTTTGTATGTGTGCTTCCTATACTGTAAGTCCATGTGCTTCTCCCAATACAAAAAAATCTGTAACTTTGGAGATGGGTGCACTTGGCTTTGCAGGAGTGACGGCTAACGTGTGCAAAGGCTGAAGCAAGAAGTCCGAAGGTGCCACGTGAAGAGCTGCTTGGGTTCTCTGGGGCTGTGGTTTATGTGCTTCATAAAGAACCCCCAGTGGGAGCTCCTGCAAACATCCGTCCACTACATTTCTGATTCGGACATCACAGATCTTCTTCCCTGTCCCCTTGTAGGGGGCTTTACCCTCTGCCGGGCAGTGACAGGCAGTGAGAAGGGAAGATGCTGGGCCCATGGATTTCCAGTCCTGCTGCCAGTGGATGGCACACTCCTCTGGAGCCTCACCGTGAACCACCTGAAAACCAGGCAGGTCAAACTGTTCCCAAGGGGCTACTGCGTGCGCTGATGTTCATGTGCTGCTTCCCCACAGAAATCATCTTCAGCAAGAGAGAGTCCTGGAAACGTTCTCCATTGCCTACCAAACCATCATCTTGCAAGAGGGAGGAGAAAAGGAAGGAAGGGAAGTAAAGGTGACTCAGATCCAAAAGCAATAAGCCATATCTGGATCTTAGTAACAAAAATAAGTGTTTTTCTACCAGAAGAATTTTTTTTATTGTCATAGGAATAGGTGAAGTGGAGAAAAAAATGAAAATTAAAACTTTTTATAGTCTCCCTTTTATAAATTACCTTGCACTTTTGAGGAACATTCATACAATTTCCTTTCCTTATTTTCAGCAAGTTGAAGGACCAGCCAGCTAAAGAACTGGCTGGTTTCCCACTGGCTCCTGGGCCTTTTTTTTTCTTTCTTTGTAGACACTAATGAAACTTTAAAATATATTTATAAGTATCCTTGATCAGAGTAACCTCTTTGTCTGAGGCTGGCAAACCTATACTTTCCCATTGATCTCTATTAGCCAAAGCATACTTGGAAATTAGGAAAACGAACATTCACAGGTATTTCTTAAAACACTTTCTCTAGAATAATAGTTTGTTTTCCCCAAATTATCCCAAAGTTGAGTCCATCACAATCTTTATGTCAACAAAATATAAAGTTTTTGTTATGTTTGATTTTGGAGTATTTCAGTAAGTGGTGGATCCATCAAAAATAAATTCTAAGGCTTGCTTGTTTAGATTTCCAATCTCACAAAAAATGTGGGGTTTTGTCCTCCATTTCTAAATCAGAAGAACTTTTGGGGCACCTGGTGGTTCAGCTGATTAACCGTCTGACTTTGGCTCAGGTCATGATCTCACTGCTCATGAGTTCGAGCCCTGCATTGGGCTCCGGGCTCTGTGCTGACAGCTCAGAGCCTGGAGCCTGCTTCGGATTCTGTGTTTCCCTCTCTGCCCTTCCCCTGCTCATGCTCTGTGTCTCTGCCTCTCAAAAATAAATAAATATTTTAAAAATAAATAAATAAACCAGAACTTTTAACAGCAATGCTGCCAAGGAAGCAGCCCTGAGGGTCTGAGATTTTGATGATTATACTACTAAAGTCTTAGTTCCTTTCTCCCTATCCAGCCTATGCCCTGACAGGTAACTCCCTAGCTTCTTGTGTACTTACTCTCAATACAAAGGCATTTACCCAGGATAGCCACAAATACTAGTTTTTTTCCTCTCAAAGTGAACTGACAGTTCTGTCAGTAATTCTAGAAAGCAAGCCCTTATAAGAGCTAAAAATAAAACATGGAAAGAACTTTTAAAAACTTTATTCTCTGAAGATTCATAAAACTTTTCCACTTAAGTCTGAATAGGTTGCTCTCTTCTGCAAGGTTACAGAATTAGTACGAATCCCCAAAGTAGAAGGATGGTGCAGCTGGTACAAGAGTGTATCTCTGAGCAGAGAGGCAGCTCTCCGACAGCAAGAAGGAGATACAGGAATAGTATTACAGCAAGGAATAGTATTCCAATCCTGCTTCCTGACACTGGCCATGGGGGTGTACTGGACAGGATGGGGATGGCCTGGGCATGGAATATCAAAGCTGTTGAAAGTTAAAGAAAAACTATTCTTAAGCCACTCCTCTCCAGGGAAGGCGGGAGGAGAATCTGTTCTAGTTTTAGAAAAGTCCCAGGTATAGGGATTCCTAAAGCATCCTTTCTACAATAAAGTAAAAGCCTGATCTTCCAAACTTGTTAGCTACAGAAATCCTTCTTTGAAGAAATCCTATGGGAAAGGCGATTACAACAAACATAACAGTGGAGCCACTTGGCTGAACTGAAAGAATGGTAGCCCAGCCCTACCGCCTACCCTTCCTGCAGAAGGCAGCCTGGGTAAGCAAATTTGAACAGCAGCCAACTGAAGCAAGAAGGAGTCCTGGTCTTTTCCTTTCCTGAACCTTGGTTACCAGAATCTATGTTGAAAAGCAACTCTGGTTAAAACTTTCCTTATGATTTTGTCCAAAATAATTCCTGACTTCTTACCAAAAATGACAAATTTCATTTACAGTACTTCCTATCTGTGCGTAATGCACATAAAACTAGTACAAAAAAGTAAAAATCCCTTTTTAGCTGGATTTCTGGTGGCTGGAGTAATATTTGTACCTTGAGTGATTTCTAATTCAGGAATCACAAGTTGGTGACTAAATATCCCACTGAAACAAAACCAAGTCAACTCATTAAGATGTTTTATAGACTTTAGATGCCAGTGAGGGAATTTTTTCTTCACAGTTGAGGTATACACCTTGCCAGGATTTTGAGATAAACTTTGACTATTACTTCAGCCAATTAATAACTTGATCCCTCTGAGGTGTCATTCTATATTGTGTCTCCACATTGTTGAACTGGGTTGACACACAAACAATGTGTGTGTGATTTCTATGAGGAGGATACTATCTCTTGGTCGTTTTGAAGTTACAGTAACTGTGCATTTTGAAAAAATATTACATAGTAATGTAGAGAAGTGGAGGATGAGAGTATACAGAAAAATGGAGGATGGGAAACCAAAAGAAAGGAAGAAAAAAAGAAAAAGAAAGAAAGAAAGAAAAAGAAAGAAAGAAAGAAAAAGAAAGAAAGAAAGAAAAAGAAAGAAAGAAAAGAAAAGGAAAAGAAAAGGAAAAGAAGAGGAAAAGAAAAGAAAAGAAAAGAAAAGAAAAGAAAAAAATAGTTCCCATCTCTTTGGGAGGTATTGCACCCTTCCTAATGGCAGCTCCTGCTCTCAATGAGCAAGTGTGAAGTAGGTGTATTCTGATGGAAGAACGACTCTATACTGCACCACTCAGCTTCCTTGGGAACAGAGCAGCCTCACCGTGAGAGTCACAATATTTTTCCTTCACAAAGAAAAATGGATCCATCGTCATTTCATTAACTTTGGCATCCTAGATAAAGATGATGTCAAGAGACCTTGAGCAGGTTCTGAACAACGTGGGGAACAAGAAAGAAAACAAGCACTAAACCTGTCAATGGTTGTAAATGACAAAAAAGCACCCTGGGAAATACTCAACGCATCGTCATGTATTCTTCATTTTCAGATGAGACACATGAAATGCTAAAAAAAAAAAAAAAAAAAAAAAAAAGTTGGACAATACTGAAAGATTGGAGGTCCTTCCCACACCATTGTAGGGGTGGCACCTACAATGAGCGCTGGCTTTGGGCCCATCTCTCTTACTGCTCAGTCTGCCCTCTGTCCCTGGAGAAGACTGTCTGTCCAACTAACTGGCCTGACCTCAGTGCTAGAGAGCCAGCTGGCCCCAAGCTGCCAGCTGCTTTTGTCACCTCACAGGTG